TAGGAGAACCACACAAGTCAACATTGACTAAGCAGACAAGTTCTTACATGTCGTTTCCTGCTTAATGTGGAAATCAAATAACAAACTCCTTATATGGGTAGGCAATATATAATCCTCGCATTCTGGTGATTCTTTCTTCTTTATCTTCTCTACCGCCATCTTTTTTTCCTGTTTATTGAGTCCATGGGTTTGTGGCGCACAGCAGATCAACAAAATGCATGGCCTGATCCTATACCCTTATCATAATACATCAAACAAACATTGGCACACCAATAGCTACGATTTGATAGTTCTCTGCATATTCCTTATCTCCATTAACAATCGACCCAACAACGAAGAATTTTTGAGGAATACAGCTATCACAATTCACGACGACCTGATATAGCAACCAACCTACTGATGAATAGACTGCAATGGTGCAGTGCACATCCATGGGGCTTTATCCAAGAAGAAAACTATGTTCCACTAAATTTCACTTCAACTGCAAAAATGATACTAAGTTGCAAAATCCCATATTTCTTATAGTAGTAACAAAAGCTGTTCCACCAAGGTCCGAGAAAGAATTTACAATAACAATGCAAATACTGAACCAACTTGTCTAAAAGTTTACAAAGTTACCAAATTCAGCATTAAGCACTCTCCTCACTCTTAAGTCTATGATGAATTCGTATCAAAAGTCTAATCCTCTCGTGCTGTATTCAACAATCTCACCTAAAAATTTAAGCTATTAGCAAGGGTACACGGTTATTTATTTAAATTCAGCCTTCAACATATGTGAATATGTCATCTACCTGAATCGACAAGACCTGCAGAATTTTGTTCAGTAGCCAGTTCATTCTCTTATTTTCCTCGTGAACCAGCGCCGGTGTTTTCTTTGTTACCCACTTGATTCAACGCAGCGGTAGCCTGAGTCCTGGAGAGATTCTGTAAAATCTGATTATTGAGGCCATCACTGCCCTTGTACAGTTGTACTGCTCAAATGGATCAATTTTTGCACTTCACATACGCAACCCACCATGGAAATTTTGTTAAAATTACAAAATAATAAGTGCACGACAAGTGTTTGCATTGAAATTTATTTCCATATAGACCCGAAACTACCAGTTTCAAAAGCTAAAAATTTTGCTATTTAATTTACCAAAGAGCCTTGAAGCGAATTGGAGGGTCCAAAACTACTCGGCTTCGCAGGAATTTGAGAAATTTTGCCGCCTCGCCTCCACACTGCTGGAGCATCGGGTGGAAAAAAGTCCCGAACCGGGTTCGGTTCTTCATAATCTAAATACTGGATACCCGAATCAAGAACAGATGGGTTTTGATTAGGTTTCGGGACCAAGAACCGAATAAGAACTGAAACTAAATAAATTTTTTTATTTTTGTATTGAATTAATTAAATTATTTTA